CGTCTGATGTGCGGCACGTCCGGGTGGAGCGTTTAGGGTCCGTCTGATGTGCGGCACGTCCGGGTGGAGCGTTTAGGGACTGTCTGACGTGCGGCGCCTCCGGGTGGAGAGCTTAGGGATTGTCTGATGTGCGGCATGTCCAGGTGGAGTGCACTGGGACCGTCTCATGTGACACCGGGCCGCACGGTGCGGACACAGCAGGGCCGTTATGATTCGCTGATCCACTTCACCTCAGTCGCTCTTTCGGAATAACAAACTGAACTTCATATCAGAAAAAAAAAATCAAAGTTAAAAGGCAGGCAAGAGAACACGGACAACATATGCATGACTGTAAAATATAGAATGATCGAAAATGTGTTTAAAATGAAAACATTTTAACATCACCACAAGCTGAGGCTGCTGTATTTCACTCATAAAAAATAAGAGGAGACAGAGTTCTGGAGAGGGAGTTGCAGCTCTGGAAGTGGGACATGGCCTAAAGCAGGCCCAGAGTGTGAGCAGTGTGCATTGTGTCGGCATGGGGATTTAATTAGGAGGCAAATTGCACAGCAAAGCAAGAACAAAGAACAAAGGCTGTTCTTTAGCAGTAACAGTCGCACAAATGGTCCCAAGTGAGAGTCTGCATTTTTCACAGGAATCCAGCACCTTCCCAGCCGCCCCCCCCACCCCCCACGCCTACCCTGGAGTCTGGCCAAGACGCCAGTGCCCTCTGTCCCACGCTCACTGCTTACGGCGGCAGATTTCCCGCGCCGCGTGTTCCAGAAGAATGGCGTTCCTGCTTGATGTCGCTCACAGATTGAGCGAGTTGTTTAGTTTGTACATCTCAGCACAATTACGCCTGTCTCAGCAAGGCCAGAAAATATATTATTGATCAAAATGAACGTGATTCAAACGAAATTCATCTTCACCTGCAGCGCAAAGAAAGGAGGGGTGCGCAGAGAAACCAAATTCACCCCCAGCGTCTGATTTCCCTCCATTGGCTAGTATTTCTGTGTAACTAGTTATGGACGAAGTTCCTCTGCGACCTTCAGGAACAGCCAAGCCTTCATCCCCTTGACCTAAAGATTTTCACTCATTTGCGTGCTCATCTGTCACCACAGCGTAAACTTCACCTGAGTCGGGTGTAGCTGTCGGCATGGTGGGTCACGACTCAAGAGTGGTCATGGAACTACTTTAGGCCACAGAGAGCATGGTTTAAGAAAATCATCACCACCCACCCTCCCATTTGACAACCTTTAGCACAACGCTGCTATTATTCTGAGTTTTGGTTGTTATATACTGACCAAGGAATAATTTGTAGTGATGGCCAAATGAAGCTTCATGAACCATTTGCTGTATTTTTTTACCCCACTAGATGGTGCTCTTGGCTTGCTTTGGGGCATGCTTTGAACACCATCTAGTGGGGTCAGAAAATACGGCAAGTGCTTCATGAAGCTTCATTTGGTCATCACTAATAATATGGATCCTGAGGCTAAAGCGATCGAGAACCTCTGCTGTAGGTGACCCTTTGGCCACTAGGGGGTGCTCCTTCATAACCATTAACTATCATATGAAACTATAGGTTAAAATAGAGTTATGTCATTTTAATGTTAGGCAAAGCAAGATCACTGTTTCACCATATCCTTATTTCTACCCATATCTGGTACTTTCCTGAAGCCCAAAATGGGATCAGTCTCTACACACTTTTATACTTTCATTACATTTTAGAAAGTACCTCCTACGTACCAAGGAAGGTCTTTTTAGCTATCTCATAAAGATGCGATAGTGTGCAGCCCTGCATGAACTGTGACGTTCTTCGGTAAGAGCCCCAGACTAACTGGAAAATGCTGGTTTTCGATCACCATGTCTGCAGAGAGGAACCTTCCTCTAGCTTTTGCCAGTTGAAGGAGCCGCAGCATGCCTGCCCACACAACCCCCCCCCCCCCATGGTCGGCTGGATTGGTCGCCTTGCCTCCTGCCCGTCTAATTCAAGCCGCTTTTTCCCATGAGAGGTAGACAAACGGTGAGAGTCACTCGGAGGAGTACACTGTCACTGCTACTCTCATCTTCCACTGGGGACTTGAGTCATGTTATAAAATCATTCATGTTTCTCATCTGAAATAAAATCAGGCACGTTAAGTCATTTTATCTTAAGAAATCCTGAAACCAAAGAGGTTGAGGGCTGACGCCAGTGTCTCTCCCTCGAGAGCTTCTGGGTCAGTGTTCATATGGGAGGCAGAAGCAGTGATTACACCAGGCAGTGAGTAAGAGCAGGTGCCCCAGGAAACCTCGGGCCAGTGTTAGTTGTTTCTAAGTCTGTCCACCGTAATTACTAAGCGCAGGAGACAGTGAGGGGTGAATATCGGAGCCAGTTTGCAGAGCGTAGTCATGCTTTTCCCTCTGCATACCACCAGGATGTGCAGGAATATGTGGAAATGGATCGGATCAGATCAGATAGACTTTATTGATCCCAGAGATACATTCTTGTACATACAGCAGCAAGATACATTAAATTAAAGTAACAAATACATTTAAAGGTGATTAGTTGTCACACCACAGCACACAGTGCACAACAGAAAAATACGTCCTCTGCATTTAACCCATATGTGACATTATGACATAGGAGGGGCAGCTAATTCAGCGCTCGGGGAGCAGTGCTTGGGGGCGGTACCTTGCTCAGGGAGCCACAGTGGTATTTTGCTGGTCAGGGATTCAAAAAAGCAATCTTTCAAATACAAGTGTGCATCCTTAACCATTAGCCCACCACTGCCACCTTAATGAACACATTAAATGAATCAATATAACCTATTACTAATCCACACACCAATGGAGATGTGGCTGCTCTGCCAAGCATGGGATTCGAACCTCTGACCTACCGATCACAAGCACAGAGGGCTAGCCCACTGCTGTGCTCTTACAATGGTTGTAATGTTATCCAGTTTTACTTGACATTAACATGAAATTCAACATCATAAATATGTATGAGGTTTAATTCATGGAACAGCACTGTTCCATTATTAACTTTGATGGATACTATTGTGACCAAACAGAAACAGTAAGAAATCTGAACAGAATCATTTTTAAACAATATGTGGGAGGGCAATTTTCAAGAAAAGTGGCCCCAGCGTGGCCCCCGACACTGCGGGCAGACGCTGGCTGGGGAGGGACCGCTGAGGCCGCCGAGCGAGTGGCATGGAGCCGCTATGTCATTAGATGGAGGTGAGCCTGTTTTTTCCACTGACGCTCATGAATAAGGAATCGGCCATCTTCGCTGCGGCCTTTTACTGCACTCACAGGAAATGAGGAGAAATTGCAGTTTCATGCGGCCTCATTTGCGTCGGGCTGTGAGCTGCATTAGGTCACTGAGCGTCATTTATTGCGGCGTGCAGAGATCAGCCGGTGATACGGGGGCCATTTATGCCTCCTATTGATTTAATGAGGATGGCGGCCCGTTATCTGCAACCCGGCCCCATTCTAAATGTACCATCAGCACTAAATTTTACAGCTCTTCGGTGGGCCCTGCCCTGTAATGGGGGGGGGGGGGGGGGGGCGCTTTATTGCCACGGCGGTGGGAGGGAGGGAGAACTCCATGGGTTTTTGTTGTCTTTTTGAGTGTGTTCGTCGTCCACAAATTGCAAGTTCCCAGAAGCTATTGCAAGGGTCCCTGAAGGAGTTTACGGGCATCTATGCAGGAGCTCATTAACTCTCCTGAAAAAGGACTGAAGGGAAATAACGACAGCGGGCTTCGAACCTGTAACCCGGTCAGAGAATCCCTGGCTCACGGCGAGCCCTGGCGACATCAGCTCCAGACTACAGCGCCATCTCCATGTGCGACTGGGGAATGGCAGCATGCTAAAAGACTACACGGCTGAATTGATTCGTCTTACTTTAAACTACGGGATGAATAACTGACAACTTCCACATTAGATTATAGACATGATTCGACTTCTTGGACAGTGTTTTATACCCCTTCGAAAAATGTAGGACGATTGTGACCTCTCCTGGTGAATTGGCGGTACTACACTGTAGCTGAAAAAGACAGAGAAATGGGAAAAGGAACTTGAAGAAGGTGATGCCTCAAGGCTCCTTGTGGGCCAGTGAGGAGCACAGGTCCTGCAGGAATGGAATCTCTCAGTCCTGGTCCATTTTCCCTCAGGAAAGTCCGGACAGCACAGCCAACAGGCATGATGCTGTTACTGGTGATCAAATCATCTTGGTCATACAGTTGCACATCATCTTTGAGCTGTAGCTGGCAAAGCAGAGGGGCTGCAGGGGCAGTGTGAGGCACACGGCTGGAGCTGTATGCAGCCGTGTTTCCGTGACAGCGGGCAGCATGCAAAGCGCAGCTGCTTCAAAAAATCACTGGCTGTCAGGCACAGAGAAATGGCCCAGTGGGTTAGGATGCTGTGCCTGTGATTGGTAGGTCCCAGGGTTTGTAGAGTGATTCGTCATGACCCTGACCCTTGCTTTCTCAAAAATCTTCATCACTTAAATAAATAATGAAGAAGCAAACGTTAATTACATACATTCAACAAACACCAGAGGGCGCCTTTCGACAAGGATTCATATAGAACACTCACACTGCACTGTAACATTTTTCAGCAGTCTTACGCACAAAAAATATCTTTTAATTATGAAGCTGCTGCCTGTGAATTTCTTGAATTCGACATCTATGTATAAAAATTGCAGGTAATATAAACAAGTGGTTTAGGGAATATTGTTACTTTTACTAAGCTGAGCCCCTTTGTCTCCTGACACAGAAATGGCAGCCGGCTGTGATCCCAGAGCAATTCGTCTCTTTCAAATTGAAAACCCTGATTTCCCGTTAACACTCTAGAACAGAGGCTGAGTAGACTATAAAGCGGAGTTCTCGCAGTTCTTGCACCGTCTGCGGTTCCACGGGATAAATACACAATAATAACAAACTACCCAGAAATCCTTTTTAATCAAACATCTCTGAGTTTAATGAGCAGAACCAAGTAGGCCGATTAATACACATTTATCTAGTCAACAAACTATCAAATAAGAAAATCAGAAATCCTCAGATAACCAAAGACAGAAATAATACCAGTGAGTGAAATAATCAATTGATGATACTATTTATTGCCTGCAATGCACGGTTGTTACACTTACATGTGATTTTCAGATATTAATCTGAAAGGAAGGATGCCTGGTATGGACCTGAGTGAAACATGTGTCTTTGTGGGGGGCAGCCCATGTGACCTGCTCAGACCTCAGGGATGGCTTGGCCAGTGTCACCCCCCCGGAGTGCTAGGCGACTGTTGCCACTTGTCACTGCACTGTGCCGGCTTCCCTGCAGCTGCCTGGGCTGGGTGTGAGGTGTCTGTGCTGCTTTACAGATGCCCTCTCTGGTCATCACCTCTCACGCAGCATTTTACCGAACACTTAAGTGCTGCAGATCTTCTGGCTTTCTACTGGCATGGTCAACGACAGCCTGTGTGAAATGTCGTCACTCCGCACGCAAAACCAGGATTAGATCTTAGTTTGTAGTCTTTTGTGCGAGAGAGTGATCCCTATAATCATCACTGAGTGCACCGTTACCTTCATTATCCTTTAAATAGGCCAAGGATCATAAATGGTTCAGTCTGTCTACAGCCCTTCATCCCTGAATCTTTAATCATTCATAGCAAGCCCTGCCCTGCCCCATAACAATTACCTCAAAACACACACATCTACACTTGCTGCAATACAGAATCAGGCAGGATCTAAAGTGAAAGGCCAGCAAGGTATTTTTATTGCAGCTGCTGCATGCTGAGGAAGAAAATCGCAGGTAAATGAAAACGAGTGAAAATGAAGCGAGGAGAGCTGCATCTGTCAGAGATAACTGAGGTGATTTCACAGCCCCCCGAAAACCACGAAAAACAGCGCCACCCGCAGTGAGGGGGCGCCTGCGCTGCCGTTCACTGTGGTCGTGCGGACTCGCACGTTCTGCTCACGTGTGCAAAGGCACGAGCACAGGGTCGCTGCGTATTTACACCGGTCTCACCTTCATCACCACCCTCATCGTCTTCCTCCAGGCCTGACCTTCAGCACCAGGCTGAACAGCCGGAAACCCCAGCGAGACTCACAAACGTAGGCACACATTTATCATGCATTTTTATAGAGTCCATCATCTCCTTTTTATTTTGTGAGAACCGTAAAATATAAACCAAAGTGAATGGGAACACGGCAGCCTGTATAAAACACGATATCGGCCTTAAAGTTTGAACTATTTCATTCTTTCACTTACGAACATTTTCCTCCCACAGTAAGTAGCTGGGATGATTCTGCACATATCTGTGCGGCCTGATATGATCGGAAATGTAAGAGGACCGTGATCTGTAGTGACTGGCTCCTAGTCGCTGGCAGGACGTGCATTTTTTCGAGTTCGCACCGTGTGACAGACAGGCACAGAAGGATTCTGCAAACCCACTGTTGACCGTCAAATTTCATCAAATGTCCCCAGAGGCTCCATCTTTCCCATAATGCAAATCCAGCAATCTGAAATATACTTTTAAAATAAGGTTTGATTTGAGGCCACAGCAGTCCCAGGTCCATCTAAAAGGTGATAGAAGAGTATGATTAAGTGTATATTGTCAGTATAACACTGATTTAATGTACAATACTACCACATTAACGCAGCCCGGAACATTTAAAACCATCCTACAAGGAAGTTCAGTGCTGTTTTTCCAGTTTTCTGACAGTGATCTTAACGGGTAACAAATGTCACTGGAGACAAGCAGTCGACCCCCAGGGAACATTCTGGAAGACTTCCAAAATGCCATCCTTGCGCCAGAGGCTGCGGGTTGGAGAGATGAGGTGTCTGTTATGAGAGACTTTATGAGAAATGACTGAAGCAGCAATGTGGGGGGGGAGGGCGGGCTTAGTGGGGCTCTCCGTTGAGTGAGGAGCCCTCCCCTCGGGGCGAGGACGACCGCGATGTCCCCCTTTCGGCGCCGTCAGATCCAGAGCCGCTCTGACCGTGGTGCTCACCCGGAGCTGGCGTGGGTTTGCTCTTCTCCTTGAAGTCTGTGATGATGACGGTAAGGTCTCCAACGGTGACCTCCAGGTGCTGAGCACTGCTCCGGTCCACATTCTTCAACCTGGGCCTGGTCACACAGAGTAGGAGAGGAGCAAAACTCAGGCCTGAGAGTAGCTACTATTGAGAGGGGGCTGCTTGGCATTGCCAACATTATTAAAGAGCATCCCAAGGGCATGAAAGAGACGCGTCACACGTATCAAAACCAAATCACGTTAGTGGAGCTGAAGCTCCACCATTGCACTTAAGCAGCAGTATGATATTATTGTATGTATGACATCATCCAGTTCAACATGTCAACCATGTGGTGGCTGCTCTCACCTCATCCTCCTATGGCTGCTCTCACCTCATCCTCCTATGGCTGCTCTCACCTCATCCTCCTATGGCTGCCCTCACCTCATCCTCCTATGGCTGCTCTCACCTCATCCTCCTATGGCTGCTCTTTCTGAATGCTGCCTCCCTTTCGCCCTTCTCTTTATCCGTCTTGTCTTTCTTCTCCTTCTTTGGCTGGGTCGGAGATGCAAACTGCTGTGTCACTTGCTGGGAGACCAACTGGGAGACTGGGCGGGGCTTCCTGGAGAAGGATGAGAGACAGCAGAAGGTCTGTGGACCTGCGGAGGCACAACCCGTACGGTCCGTCAGGAAAGCTACAACTACGATTGCATGGCTCCTTTGTTTGGTTCCTCAGACATGAGTAGAGCGAATATGCAGGGACAGCAGGAGCAATGCATGCTGGGAACAGCACAGAGGGCTGCTTATGGAATGGAAATGCAGAAAGGCACATGACTGCAGCATCACAAAATCCCAGGTAGCTGACCCTCTGAGCTGGGAGCTCATCTCAGTCAGAGGGCTCTGCTCTACATCCCAATTACACTCAGCCTAGAGCAGCTCTGGAAAGGATCAATTACAGCTCATGTTAGAGGCAAAAACGTACCAGCCAAAACCAGAGAACAAGTCCCATCAAGCATAACCCCACCGGAGACACCCCTAACATTAGACATGATGTGGCTTTTTTTGCTTTGAACTATTCAATTGATTTATCAGCCAGTTCTTATACCCAAATCTTATCTACCCCAAACCTAATGCGATTTCTGATTTCCTCGAACCTCCAACTTAGTTCACCTCCCAGTGTGCACTGAGACGATCTGTGGCTCAGTCCTGTAATAAATCCTTCTGCTGCACATTAAAAATGCCTGTTTTCAGGAGGGGAGGCGCTGTTCTGGTAAGTCCCCAGGTCCTCCGCAGTCCACTATTTGGGGATTGTGCAGTAGATACGGTGCAGAGGGTATTGCTGGCCTGTGTGGACGCTCTCGGCGGTAACACAGGACGTTAAAGCACCAATCAATACTCCACTCTACCTATTTTATAGCGCTAAGTCGTACTTAATGGAGTCACGCACGTGACGAGAATGAGATATTACACGGCTGTAAGTAAATGCAGAAATACGGCTCCTTCATATTCCCGTGCGCCTTGATCAAACAGCCTGCCCAGCTGAAAGGTCTCAGCTTCAGCCTGAACTGCCTTTCTGCCGGAGAAGGTTCCAGAGGTTCCGCCACTGCCGTTTCGCTCTTTTTGCCGGCCACTTCAGGGCAGGATTGCTGGTTTTTTCGGAATGTCTTAAACATCTTCCTTAAGGTGTAATCAGCAGTCCGTTATTTAATTCAGCTCAAACGCTAAATATATTTGAGTATATAAACAGTTTTGTTTTGGCTGAAAACCAGTGTATTAAGCCCAGAAAAGCAGTAATGCTGTAACAGTGCATCAGCATTTGGAGCAGTTCCATCACTGTACTGAGGAGCAACGCGGAGTATAATTAACATGCTGAGAGTCCCGTCCTAATGAAACTCAATGCTCTCCCACATTCCCACATACCTCACCAGGAATCCACCCCCCAACACTGCCCTGTAGAGGCCTCAGGTCGGGTAAAAAGAAACAATTAACCTCCGCTAAACTAACGATGCCTTTGCTAATGACCTGCAAAAAAACAAAAAAGATGGATGCTTCCATCCTTCTGTTTTACTGCCAGGTATTCAGAGAAATCGAGTGGGTGGCGGCCCCCAGTGCTAAACAGGGAAGCACTGGGAAGGTTCTGGGTGTTTTTCCATAAACCGGGCTGTGCGGCAGAGCTCGGGGGCGGGGGGGGGGGGGGGGGGGGGGGGGGGCTGTCCCCCATGCTGTCTGGCGACCCGTCAAGCCCATACAGCATGAGACATCCTGCCCGGCATGCTGGGCAAGGACAGAGGCAAAGTCAGGCTGAAAGAGGCGGAAAGAGACCCTGGGAGTATGAGGAGTGACGGACAGAGGCTAGACAGGGCCAAAGGGCTAATCGGTACGACCTGCTTTATCACTGTGAGCACACACAGCGTAGTTGGCCCTCTGACCCCCTAAATGCTATCAGCATCAGTACTTTCATCAGGTGAGAGGGCCAGTCTGGATGACCTCCCTTACCCTCCTCTGATTAAGGGCATTGCAGGAAGGAAATGAGGTAAAGGAAGCACAGAGGTGGGATAGTGTGGCCTGCCAGAGAGGTGTCTGGGTAATGAAAACAACCAAACACAGTCTCTGGCTGTGCACTAAGTTACACAGTGGCACTGAAACCAGAGAGCCAGCCTTAAAATGGCAGTAAAACTTGAGGACTGATTAAAACAACCTCAGGGGTACAAACACGACAGCACCGGCGTAACACAGAAAGGAATTCTGTAACTAATCAGAAAGCCCAGTGCAGAAAAATGCTAATTCTGTGCAGATGAAAAGTCGCCCGTAGCCTTTGGTGCTTTAAAACTGCTTAATCTGTCTTTTAACCTGTAATCAAAGCGATTTCTTTTTCACAGTCTCTGGGTGCAGCCGATGACTGGGCTGGGAATAACTGGGGGGGTGGGGGGGCTGTAAATACTGCCATTTTAACACCTAACATGATATCCAAGACACTACAGCAGCTCTGTGCAGCAGAATGACCTCTGGTTGTGTCTGTATCCATTAACAAAACTGCCTTCCTATGGGATAATCACATGACAGTGATTCATTAACAGTAGCATTTTATTACTAATATAACACTGCCTGGCAGCACTGGGAAAAAGGAGAGATAAGAGTGAAATCACGACATAAAGGCTCTTGGGCGTGAGAATCTGTAACACAGCATAGGTAAGCACACACGCCTAAGCATTTCCACGAGAGTCGTGGTTGCCTCAGTCTCTGCCCTTGGCAGGAGGTTCATTAACGGCTTTCTGGCGGCCAGTGACCAAGCAGCTGGAGCCCGTGATGGGGGGGGGGTTGTGTGAAACAGCCCCTGTGAGGATCAGGCAGCCGCATGCTGACTGGCTGTGTCTGACAGCTGCCAGGCCTCCTCTACATTGCTGATCTCTAACCACGAGAGGGTCCTGGATATCCCCTAACACCCCCTCCCCCCTCCCCCAAGAACAGCATGACGGATGAGCAGTAGAGTCAACATCTCTCCCCCTCCCCTGTGGCCATCCATCCTCTCAGCCTTGTCACTGCTTGAAGACAAACACAAGCTCAATGTAATACACTCAGGTTACTTCCTAGGAGTGTTTCTGAAAAGTAAAACTACTCCACCGCTGATGAATATTTATGTACAGTGCAGCTTTAATAAGTATAAATACCGTGGACACAAATGGTGTGATGTCTGACACGCATCCACCCCAAACCTAAACGCGGATTTTGGTGGTGTATTTTGCATCAGAAAGCAGTCAGCGGGTGGCGCAGTGGCTAAAGACGCAGACCGACCTCGGTGCCAGAAACGAGCTGCCCCCTGACCAGCAGCTTCTCCGTGACTTTCTCCGGTAAACAGCCGTGTGGACGCGTTAGAAGGCTGCCGGCGGGCCGTCTTACCGTGTCGACGTCCCCTTCCTCACATCGCACATCATGCACTTGAAAGCCTCTGCGCTGTTCTTAAACGTACAAACGCTACAGTCCCAGTATCCGTCGTCAGAGGAAGGCTTGGACTGCCGCTTCGGCCTTCAAAAAAAACAACAACAAAAAAACAAACAGACAGAAAGTAAAGCTTTTACACCGGCCGACGAAGCCGTTTCCCGTCACACGGCTCGATACTAGCGAAAGAGCAAGTCCGCCATGGCGGCCGGCTGCGTAGCAACGCGCGTAGTGACCCATCCGCTAAGGCTCGCTCGGGTCACCCGCCGTGCCGTCCCTGCCTCTTAGCAACATATAAGGGGGTGTTTAACCTTGTCGGGCTCTTCTTGTCTCCCATGTCGCTACACCGATACTTGTTTTGCGTCTGTTGTTTGTTTTTATTGCCACGAACCGAAGACAAGGCTCGGTTCGGAGCAGAAACGGCGGCGCCCGGATGACGCAGCTCCTGGCTGCCCTGGAAACTGCAGGCGGGCAGGGAGGTGCGATCACGTGGTCGCGCCGGGCCAATCGCCACCTGTGAAATTTTGAGTGATGGAAAGAGGCGGGGCCGCCTGGTGTGTACACGGGAGAAAACAGGCGCACGAGCTCCATCGTTTATATCTATTGTAGGGTTCGCCTAAAACACTTCATATAGGCTCATCTTCATATGAAAACGTAATGGATGAGAGTTTTGTGCTCCTTTGTTCAAATTTTATAAATGTAATTAATAAAGAAAGGATTCTTTATTAAAGAAATCAGACAATAAGATTGCGAAAACGAATGGGTCAATAGGTTCAATCTCCAAAAACGTTCAAGAGGAATGTAGAATACGCAGAACTTATTTTTATACGAGTTAAGTTCAAAGCGTCCAAAGCGACTCATATTACAGAAGATCCACTTTCTATAGATAGAGTTGGAATATAACAGAGAAACCTCGACACAAAATTATATAACTAATCGTCATTCTAGCGTTTCACTTTCCTGCCGTTTTAAACAGCAGCCTGGCTGCATTACAAAGCTGATGCGCCTAATTTCGACTTATAGAATGGAAGAAAGTGGACAAAAATGTTTTACATTTAGTGTGTTTATCCTTTTATTTCTTGGTGTTATATATTCACCCAGCTACACAGATTACTTTTTTGTTGCACTGCTGAAAGCCCCAGACTGGCCTATTTACAGCCACAGACTTATAAATGAGTCTAGAAGCGTTTTTCATACAAAGCAGACGAAGCAGCTGTAGATGCTGAGGTTAGGAGACATCCACCGTGCTTTGCAAGTAAACCACCCAAAATATGAATGTAGATCAAGTATGCTGTTTGCAGTAATGGAAAGTCTGATTACACGAATATAAACCCATTCAGAGTACAGAGTGCTTATGTGCCATGTGTGTATACCACAATAGTTTTATTTTTTATAAATATTAAGTAAATTTAAGTAGTTTTTTGGTCTAACTCAATTTTCTGTGAATTGCCATATTTTATGAGAAGATACATAATACAGCAATATTACGTTATTACATTGGGTTTTCGCCGTCTTTAAGAAAGACACGTGTAATAATTTTTCAAAATTATAAAAACCACTGTGATCTATTGTAAATCTCACACAGTATACGTTTCTCTTGCAAACAAGTTACTGGATAAAGACGTGCAATGTGTGATACAAACATGAGAATAATTATATAATGACAATTTGAAGCAGTGATACTTTTAAACCCAAACTGTTTTTTTTTTTTTCGTTTTAACTATGAAAACGAATATATTGTACAGGTAATCCTTCAGTATCAGGGCAACGTAAGACGATAATGGTAATGGAAAAAATAAAGCAAGTTCATTTCAGAAATTGACAGAAGCAAAAAAAAACAATTCAGGATAAAATAATTTGATATGAGAAAAGATCAGAGCACTATACTGTACAAAGGCTTGATTGTTGACTTCCGTTCCGTCCTGAATCTATGCGGGTGGCAGAAAAGGCGAAAAGCGCGGAGCGCCAGGCTTTGTTGATTTTCCATGTTTGTCGCTTGAAGATGACGTTCCCCGTGACTGATTGACAAGGCTGCCATCCAATAAATGCTTTCTATTCGTGCACCGGAAGTGGCTGCAAGATCGTCGTTTGCTCTCGTTTCTTTAGGTAATGTGGGGAAAGTTGTAGCTAGGTCTGCGGGAGCTATAGATCCCTAACTGGGACTTTAATGGATTTTTACGTTTGATTTGTTATATGGACATTAATAGTAATACATGTGTGCCGCTGACTAAAAGGCGAATGATAAAGCCGGTAAGTTTTTGGACGTATACTTAAGGGCATCTTGTGTGGCAGTATTGTGTTTGTTCGGCTCCAAAAGCGGACGTTTACGTACGAATCAGTCTTTTCTTACCGTGAATCATTAAAAAATATATTATTATATAATTAGCTTTACGATGCAGGTGGAAATGTGTTGCCATCTGTTTAGCCGACGGGTCTGATTAACGTCTGATGAGCCCACTCTTCTGTAGCTCAATGGTGTGTCTAATCTTGTCTTTTAGCTCATAGTTATGTTTTGCTTTTGTGTCTTTAGCTAGATGAAAGTAAAAACTGTAAACGACCTAAACGACAGTGCTATTCCTTTGCAATTTAAATGACTTTTCTTTTTTTTTTTTATTTCAGACTATCTGCCGGGCAGTTACAGTTATACAGAAGTAGTAAGTCTTTTTTACAACATTGATTATGATACCGCATTTAATTTATTTAACGGTCCATATATCCTTTTCATGGTGATCTGAAATGTGCTGTGCCAGGGAGTGTTTGCCCAACACAACTGCAATAATAATCAACATTTACCCAGAGCATGACACATTGATATATGCTACAGGAGCAGCATGTGTTCATCCAGACCAAAAAAAACAGCCTGAATTGGTTGTATGCACAACTCTCCTAAATAAGCGGTGGCCATTCTTATCTGCAAAAGGCCGGGGTGTTTGCAGGTTTTTGGATAATCTTCAGATCAGCTGTTCAGACCCAGGTGTGAGGACTCTTCAGCCAATCAGTCCTCTAATTAGTAATCTAATTAGGGAGTTGTAGGGAAGACCCACACACACAGCCGCCCTTTCTGGATAATATTGGCCACCCCTGACCTAAATGAAATCCTATGATTGTGATGCCTATTGCAGATGCTGCCAGTTGGGCTTAAACACAACAGCATGGGAAGAGCTGTAGAAATGAACCACAATTGTTCCTTCCATTCGAGCTCCTCAGACGTGTCTATTTGAGATTTATTGCCATGAACTGCAGAGACCTGAACATTCTGGAAGTACTTTAATCACAATGTATGAAAAGGGGAAAATAACTGGCTCTCTGTGTCTCTATTCAGCATTGGGGATCTGGCTTGCTCTCCAGTCTGGTAATATTGGTTACTATGCCAGTGCAGTTCAGAGGGGCTTGGTGCTGGTGCCATTGGGTCTGCAGGGAGTTAGACTGGGACACCTGTCCGTTTGGGTGAACTCCACTCCTGTTCTGTACAGAAATCCCTGGAATGCCCTTAGACACAGCACTAAATGGCTGCTTTGCGGTTCAGTGCTGGGAGTGAGGGAGTTGTACCCATGTGCTCCGCTGTGCCTTTAAACGCTCTGAGGGCATCATTACCGGCTCATCACCACATAGGTGAGAAGGCGGATCTCACCGCCCTTGGGAGTTCTCTGACCGCCCCCCCCCCCAGAGCAGCGGGAGCCCACGTGCCACCCCCTCTGTCCTTTGTAGTAATTAATGAGAGGGGGGCTGAATTGAACCTTCAATTACCTTTTTAATTATGAACAAAGGAGCCATCTGTCTGTTCAGGATGCCCCATTAGATGGCAAGGCCTATGAGAAGAATGTCGTTTCCAATCGCCTGGCAGACAAACGCTGGTCACGATGGTTAAGTGACTTGCAGGGTACATGATGTCGGCCATTCGGCTGGGACAGCGTCTCCCCACAGCATGCCTGCCTCGTCCTCACGTATCTCTAACCGGGCGATTTTGTTAAACTTCTGCCGCAGCCCAGTCCTGGCATTGCTGCTCATAAGATGAGAAGATAAAATGGAGCTTTATTTGTCCCCGTGGGGGGAAATTTTTGTCCAGCAGCACAGAAAGAAATGCATGACTGTATAGTACAGTATAGTAGAGTGTATAGTAGAAATAAATATGTATAGTACAATCAGTAAGAAAATAAGTATAAAATATCAGATTTAAGAAAACTGGAAACAATGTACCACTGTGGTAAATACAATGCAAAATGCCTGTACTGCAAATGGAATATATACAAATTCAAAGTCTGTTCATAATACAGGTGCATTTAGATGAAGCAGCATTGTACTATTCATAACTATCATGGCTTAGCATTTCTGTCTGCAGTGAAATCTGCAGTCATGGCAATGTGGAAGGAGCACCTGTGCTGTTCAGTTTTGCGTTTGGGGGAGACGAGTCTCTGAGTGAATGTGCTCCTCATCTCCATGGTTGTTGAGGGGACTGTCTTCAGCGTGTCCAGCTGCAGGCCTTATTAATCAGCTGGTTCAGAATGATTAAAAAACACTGTGTAGCAGTTTACCGCTGTATTGCAGGCAGTGTATTGCATTAAACCCTGGGAAAATGTGGTTCTGACCCATTGCTTGTCACAGTGGCCTACCGGAGGGAGAGAGACATGCGGGGGATGTATGAGCCACAGTTTCATCCGGACCGTGGGGTGAGTTGCATTCTGTCTTTCTCTGTTGGGGGGCTCTGTTCCCCTGGTGGCTCCTGCTTTCTGCTTTAGCACACGTATGTCCGAGCGACATCCGCTGTGGAAGTGTGTAGGTGGATGGTTAATTACATTCCCCAGAGCCATGGGCATCTCTGACACTGCATCACTGGCTCTCTTCATTGTTTTTATTATAAATGCCTGACATTGGAGCCTGCAGGAAGGAGCGGCTGCGCAGAGGTGTTTATTCGGCTGCGCAGAGGTGTTTATTCGCCTTCATTTGTGGGTTTTGCCAACAGAGCTAATCATAGCTTAACAGTCTGAGAGGGCATGTGAATTAATTAGTGCATGGCGTCTCTGTTTCTGGCGTTTCTGTGACGTGCTCAGCAGCCAGTACTTATTAAAATAGTTCCAACCCTAATCCCTGTCAGTGTGCTCAGATGTGCCCAGTATGAAATGGAGAGAATTGTGAGCTTTTGATTTATGCAGAAACTGTAAAGGACATGAGCAGCAGTGCTTGCTGTCTTAATTCCTGCTAAGTGAAGGTAAGTCGTTCTGTGTGTCGCTGTTCCCGTCAGATGAGCGACCTCTTTGACTGGCCCGTTTTAAGGTGGCCCGTTTTAAGGTGGCCCGTGAGTGGGACCGGCCCGTGGTCGTAACAGGTCTTTGATCTGGGCCTGCAGGGTCCCTACTTGCGGGATATGAGTGAGAGGAGACCCGGCTTCGGGAGACCGGATGAGGAGTATATCCGTGGCTTCGAATATGACAGTCCCCGCTACCCGAATGGGGCTCCACGGAGTTACCACAGCGACGACCAGCGCAGCTACTATGGTGAGAACAGCCACTTTGCCAGCGAGCGGAGGAGTGGCCCGCTGCGACGGGTACGTGCACCGCCGCCCGCTGACAGATACACGCAGACAGGAGTTCAGGCCGCCAGCGGGCCTGACTGTGTGTGTGGCCCATTGTGCCTCACCTGCCGATTGGCTACAAGGCAGGAAATGACATCATCTCTGCCGCTGTGTCTTACGAAGGAAATGCAGCAGATGCTGCCATGGTTCTGAGCATTGGCACCCCAATCTGGGTGCTGACATTTTAGCGCGGTGCTGTACCTGCCATGGTTACTTCCCCCTTGTTTATTCCCCGTCTTGTCACTATGGATGGATGGATGGATGGATGCAGGAATGGCATGAAATTTCCAGACCCGGTCTTCTTGCCCAAGCATTCTGTCCTTGGGCTGTTAGCCTCTGTGAGAGAAATATAGTTTCTTCACAATACTTCTTAATAGTTCTTAGGTATTTTAAAGAGAAGATATTTCATGTAAGTTATCTCTACGTCATAACCAGTGCAAGACTCTAATTTACATACTTGTTTTACTTAAGTGTCTTAATGAGCCTGTAATCTGAACCTGCATCTGCAACAGTAGTTGGAGCTTAAACTAGTGTTTTACGATGTAGCCAAGCCCTAGCAGGCTAACCACTAACCACTAATGAGCATGTGTGTTCATACTGTGGTCATTGGTCATAGTGACTGGTGTATGCCGTCGCCGTTTTGTGGGCATTGATCACAATTACAATGCAGATCATATCAGTTTCCTGAAATCAATAGTGCTAGATAGTTTGTTTACATGGGTGTCCTGTTGCACACCACACAATATTCTAAGTGGGGTAACCCTTAAATTCTGCATGATGAGAATGGTATAATGCCATGCTGCTATATCTGGAATTCATAAATATGCAATTTTTTAACTGGATGCCATCCATCCATCCATCCATCCATCCATCCAACTGCTTATCCTGATCAGGGTCATGGGATTGTTTTAGTTAAACCAAATTTTTGGTCTTGGTGAAACAACAAAATTGTTTGTAAAAATGTATTTTCAGCTTTCAGGTGGGTAATTCAGTGTGTTGTTTTTTATTCTTAATCATCAGTGATATCTTTACATTTTGTAGCTGTTGTAAGCCTCTTACCTAAAGGGACATGCGAGCTGTGATGTGTGTTTGTCGCCCCCTGCAGGAGGACACCTATCAGTACTACCGTGACGCCCGTGATGAGCTGCACGGGGCTCGGCAGCCGGAGTTCAGGTGAGGAGAAGTCTGCCACTCCTGCCCCCCCCCCCAGGGAAGCTTAATGGCGATATTTTACTGGGGGCGGGGTTGTGCGAGTGAAACTTATGCTACTTATGCCTGATAATCCCTGCTGAACTGACCCACTTTTGAAACAAATGCACATTCAAAATGTTTTTTTTTTTTCCCAAGTTGCTATAATTTTAGTTTTTGCTTTTTAAGAAGCATCTCGGTAACTGACACTGACCACGTCTTAATGTGAAGATGCATGCAGCAATACCCGGCAAGAAGGATGCTGCCGCTCTATCGATTTGTGGCTGTTTATTTTTAGGAATGGGAATAGTTGTGCAATAACAAAAAATGATTTCCTACCTATAATACCACCGTCTGTTATGTGGTATTGTAATATTGAACCTGCAAATCTGTAACTGATTCTGGCACCCAACCTGACAGTGGGAAGGATGCTGCAGGTTCTTGTGCTGGCAGCAGAGGGCAGCAGTGCTCCTCACTCCAAAAGGCTGGCAGTGACCGTGAGCTTTGAAGGAGCCGGACTTTGTGTGTCGAATGCTGCTTCACATCCCGGGGCGTGGCTGCCTGCAGCGGGCCCTGCGTGATCGCCCCCCCCACCCCCGCAGCCTAGCGCCAGGCGTGCAGCTGTACCTGCTTAATATCCCCCCCTCACACGTGTCCTGCCCAGGCTCTGCTGGAAAAAATCTTTGCCGCTTTTGATCTCAGGGTTTTTATTTATGAAAGTGAAAAGCCCTCCTGGAAGATGTAAACACCGGCTTCCTGGGTACGCTTGAATTACACAGAGACGCGAGACTCCGAAACGGCCGGAGAGCGTGAGCCGTCCATCCCCCTCAGAGCCGGTTTCCGTAGCGATAGTCAGCTCTGTGAAGCTGCCCCCCCTGCCCCACAGCTAACCGTAATCTCGTTATCGGGGGCCTTGACTCGTCCCCAGCAGAGATTCCCCCCTGCAGTCGTATGGGGATGTGGCCTGGGGGCATGGGGGGGTTGGAGATGGCCAGAGTGTGGTCAGGAGGTTGATGGCCTCTCCACAGCGGGACCCTCGTGAAGCTCTCACAGGAAGCCCCCCCCCCCCCCCCCCACCATGGGGGCTGTAGGCGTGGCTCGAACCTCGTTCTGGGGCCACCCTGGCATGGGGCCCGGCGCGGAAGGCCTCGCCCAGGAGCCCTCAGGGACCCAAAGGAAGCCAAGGAGCCGGGGGCTGGGGGGTGGGGTAGGCGGGGGCAGGGGGGGTCAGCGAACCCGGGCTGCTTCTCTGTCCCTCTTGACCCCCATGCCATGCATTTTGGATAATAAGCCAAATGGGCGTCTTGCTGGGAGTAGGCCGTTTTGAAGTCCTTCCCTCCATAAGCATCAAAGTGCCCCCCCCCCCTTAATTGCCAGTAAAGCTCTCTTGCAGAGGGTCTTAAACCTGCTAATCTCGTCCTGCTTGGGTCCATCGGCTTTATACGTCCAATTATATATCACGTTTTCATGCGTGGATTGTTTTCTTTTGTTTGTTGATGCTGTCGGTTGAGGTGGGGCCTAACGAACGCCGGGGGCCTAACGAACGCCGGGGGCCTAACGAACGCCGGGGGCCTAACGAACGCCGGGGGCCTAACGAACGCCGGGGGCCAGCGACCTGCGAGGCCTCTGTCCTGACATGCACAGTCCCCTAGGATATGGGTTTTTATCTCTTCTGCAGAGGGACTCTGTATACATATGATCCACTTCTGTTTAACTTGCCTTTTCCACCACTGACCTTGTATTATAGCCTTTTGTGCCATAATGGCGCCTCCTCTGGACTGTTGCTGTAATTGCCTATTCAGACATGTTTGCTAAGTAGGAGAAAGTCACCCTGTAAATACAAGGCCAGACGTCTTGGTGTTGCCTGATACCCCCCCCTCGCCAAGTGCGGGACACCTGTGTCTCCTCCGAGGGGGAGACGACGGCTCGGGCCGGATTTCAGCCGATAAAACTGTACTTTCATATGTTTCAAGGGGGGAGTGAATCCGCTGGGTCACTTGGGGACTTTGTAACTGTTCCTGGGTGCTGATGTGTGCTTAGATACGGGCCGTGAGACATCCGATGGACAAGCCCGAGGTGGGCGCCCCCCTTTAAAAAGGCACATCCCCTTTAACCATTTTCATGATCTCCCCCAGCCCCACTCGCCTGTTTCTGGGCCTCCCTGGAATTCTTTTGAGCCAAGGTCACTGACAGTGAGTGGTCTGCAGGGCGGCGATACTGACACACTAGAGGGAGCCGTGGTAATTTACTGTTCGAACAAATGGCACAGCAAGTCTCATACTTCAAACGGACCCAAGGCCATAAAAGTTTGCGAGGTCACGTTAAGCTGCCCCTTTGTTTGGGCCATGGGCCTGGGTCAGGCAGGGGTCATGCAGACCAGGTGCCTTTAATTACTTTATGCCCCCCCCCCCC